TTGAAATAAAAATTTCCGGAGTTTTTTTATTTTAAAAAATTCTATATTAAAAATTCTTAAAAATCTTTGAAGATTTTCGAAGATTTCTTCAGAAATTTTCGAAAATTTTTATATTATATAAAACCAATATATATATATATATATATATAAACTCTTTTCTACAACACCTCCATCTATAGAAAATTGTCTTTTTAGAAAGCTTCTTTCTTTCAAGGAACTTTGTTTAGCAGAATATGTCTTTTTGGAAGAAGATATAGACTGGATGACTGATTTAAAGTAGTGGGGTTTCAAGAATAAAATTGGCCCCTGGGGTTTTCAGCAATGGAGCCTGTACTAAGAGATCTAATGATTGGTAACAGTACTAGACAATAATTTGAAACAAAGAAGATAAATAAAAAGAAAATTTTCTATATGAAATCTATCTCTATACACAACTGCCACAAAACAAATACATCTCTTATTTCTAACTCAAAAACAATCACATTTTCAAGAGATAGCATTTTATTTTTTTAAAGTTTTTTTGTTTTCTGCTTATGGTAACTAGTGCAAGATTTCACATAATCTTCTGGCTAGTTATTAATCCTCGTTTATAAATTTCAATACCAAAATTGCAACTAGCTTACCCTTATCAAACAATCTACAATACACAAAATACCAATTATACTCTGTACTATCTTTATACACCAAAACAACATTACAACTTATCAGATTGGGAAAGCATGTAATTAGTGCCTGCACAGGTTCTGGTAATTACAATACACAACAATTTATTAGAACAATATAATAGATATCTGGAATATGTTCCAGTTACCCTATTATTTACATCATAACACAACAATATCACATAACAACAACATCACAAAATCTCACATAATTAAACCCATCGAGTTATATGTAGCTTATGCAGTGCCGACATCTGACTGAAACAATTAATTGTATTTAGGAACTATATTTAACAAAAGCTTCAATATTTTTTTTTTCTTTTTCTTTCTACTTAAATATTTTACAATACTGGCAATCTTGCTTTAAATGTTTTTTTATTTTTTATTTTTTACAACAAATAGTTTCTCAGGTTTTCCTTGCTCAAGGATTTTTCAAATGATATACATGTATTTGTTTAATAGGTGGTAGATTAATATCTATAGTAATATAACTCATATATTAATATTAATTATATAACAAGTTAAACTTTTGCTTTATTAATAAAGATCATAAGTAATACTTTATTTTAATATTAAAAAAAAAACCAATATATATAAAAGAATATCTTTTTAACTTTAATAAAATTTTAACTCTATTAACATTAAAACAATAATTATTTAAGTTTATTGTTTTTTAAAATCATTAACAATTTTATTAAGACTTTTACAGTATGACATATACAGTATATAATATTCAATAAACTCACATATAAAGATAAATATATTTTTTGTTTCCTGTAAGTATTGAACTAAGAATATTATTTGAAAACTTAAGAGCATTACTTATTATACTATAAATCTATAAATTTCTTTTCAAAATTATATATATATTTTAATATAGTAAAAATATTTTTTTATATTTTTTTAAATTTAAACTTTAAAATATAAATTATTAATAAATAGATTTTCAAGTGTTATAAAAATTTTAAATTTATTATAAATAAATATATTTAATTAAAATAAATAAATAAATAGTAAAGTCTATTTATAATAATATATTTTTAAATTATTTAATATATAAAATTTTATAAATAAATTATTTTTTTTAAAAAAATATATAATTGTTATTTATTACTTTAATAGAAATATAATTTAAAAATCTTTAAAAAATCTTTATAAATAATTTTTTTTATAGTAAAAAATATTTGAATTATGTTTTATTTTTAATTTAAGAATTTATTTTTATTTATTTATTTATATATACAATTTGATTTATTAATTATATATTTATAATAATATTTTAATAATTAATTAAAAATTTAAATTAATTAATTAATATAAATATAAACAAATATATATTTTTATATATTTTATATTATATAATATTAAATTTAATAATTTAAGTAAAAAACTTTCTCTTGATCACATCTGTTTTGTTAAAAATTTTTCTTTTATAGTAATTTTAAGCAAAAAAAAATGTTTTACTTTCTTTATTGCAAGTAAGCTCTAGCTCAGGAATTCAAGAATTTTTAAAACAATTAATGCAATAGAATGGGATATCTGGTTAAAGTCTATTCAAGTTTGAAAGTCTTGCTTATCCTTCAGTTGCATAAGGAAAAACCTATAGTAGTTCTCTTTTCTTCAGTTCTCTTATATCCCTCCTTATCTTTATTCTATTATAAAAATCATCCATATCATTACCATCATACTCATTAAATCAAATACTTTTTAAAATACATACTCAAACATAATTAGTAGGTCTACTGTTTGTTTTAAGTCAACTCTTATACACAATATTTTTGTAGCAATATTTGTTGTGTCACTTTCATCCTTCAAAAATTTATTACTCAAAAAACTGAAATCAGCTTACCCCCTCCAGATAATCAACACTCTTCAATCATTCAATTAGATTTTGTCTAATAATTAAAACAAAAATTGAACAAGCTCAAACTGATTTTGTACTATAACAACGATTACAATAACAATAACAAATAACTCACTACTAACGACTATAACAACAAACAACATCACGTATACTCTATTATTTATAGCATATGGAGAACCGGAGAGTTGGAACCACGAACTCATCAAGAAGTTCTTTTGTTCAACACATAGATTATATAATATATTTGATTTAGTTTTAGTTATAGTCAATTTTATTTTTTTTTTTAATTTTTTATATCCAAAAAATCAAAAGAATTCACAAAATTTCCTGGGATGGTAGGCATAGCCACTACTCAGCCTTATCTAGTATATTAATATAGATTTTGAATTTTTTTATAATATTAGTTAGATATTGATAAATAGACAAGCTAACATTTAATTTTCTTGAAATAATAAAAGAAATGTTGTTTCTTTTAATAATGTATATCTTGTTATATACAAATCAAAATAAAGAAATAATGTTTATCTACTGGAAAACCCCCCCAAAAAAATAATAATAATTCAAATAAATATAGTAAAAGAATAAAGTATTAAAGTATTTTTTTGTTTAAAGTGATTTAAAATTTTTTTTTTCTATTTTATATTGATTTTTTTTTTTGAAAAAATTAAAAAAATTTTTTTTATTAAACTAATAATTGTTTAAAAAATTTTTATTTTTATTTTATTTTTTAAATTTATAATAATTATATTGAAATGAAAATTTCAAATATAATTTAATTATGATTTTCTAATTTAGATTAAAAAATACTATTATATATTATTTTTCTAAAAGAAAATATTTTTTTTTATTTTTTATAATCTTATCTAAAGAGTTGAAATAGATTTAAAAAATCTAAAATAGTTAATATCATATAGTAATAACTTGATAAATTAACTTTATTATAATAAAATAATTAGTAAATAATTAAATCATATGGACAATATGGTAATCTTGATATTAAAAATTCAAAAATTACTTACAAATTATTAGACTTTTTGACAGATGTGCTGAAGCTTGTAAATAATTTAACTATAATATAATAGTTATATTGTATTCTTGGTTATAAAAAATTAATAAACAATCTTGACTTATAACTTGATTAGAAGTAAAAAAAAAAAAAAATTAATTAATAAACGCATTAATATCCAGTTTAATTAGAAGTAAAATAATAATAATAAATATATAAATATAGTCGTAATCAAACAAGAAAAAGAATATAATTGCAAAAATTTACTTGTATAATTAGAATTTATTTTTTATTTATAAAAAATTCAATATAATCAAGCTTTCAAATAAACAATAAATAATTATACAATTATAAATTACTATTTATATCAAAATTTTTATACATTATATACAGTATACAGCTCTTAAATGCGTAGCTGCTGTGAGAAAGTCTTAAAAAATTTTTTTGATGCCAATTTAAACAATAAAACAATTAAGGCAGAGAATTCAGAGAATTAGGAAATTAAGTATATGCGTATATAATTAACGTTTAAAATTTTATCATTCGAATTCGAGATAATGAAACCGTAAAAAAAAAAATTTTTTTCCTTAGCAACGGTTCATTTAATAGATTCAATTTATTGAGTCGATATTTATCGACTTCACGCACTTACAGTACGTTCTTTCTGTCAAACTTATTTTAAAAAAATCAGATATTTCATCATCTATATGTGGAATTTTTCCACGGATCTTGCTAATTGGTTGACGCTGCATAAAAAATTTCGAAATTATTGGTGCGGGCTCGTGTGGCACCACGCTATTTGTTCAATTTCGTGCTACAGATTCACTGTGTCACTCCCAACAAATTATCTCTTCTGCGTGACATTATGAGGAACCTTTTAGCTGTAGTCAGCTTTATTTCTTACCATTTAGCCTTAAGGTCATTTAACATCACTTCAGCAATACATTGTTTATCGAACCGGTCATTCCTTAGCGTTCCTCTACTTTCATTATTGAACGCATCCATTCCTTCGGGGACCTGTTCTCTTTCTCTAACTGTCGCTTCTCTGGTTGAATCAAATCTTAATACTTGCTTTTTAACTTTCGGTTAGAACATGGCTCATGTGCGTCATCTCGGTTAACTTTTTTAAAATTGTTCAATGGAGAAAGGCATTATTTATTAAACATCTTATATTTGACAACAGAGATTAGGCGGACGTAGAAAAAACGTCAAAAAAGGGTTTCAATTTACTCTTATGGTAGTTGGTGGGTCTTCCCTTTTTGTTATACCTCGTTAAACGCGTTTTATAAAATTTCGATCAGAATTCGCTGCGAACACTATCGAATTTCATCAAGTTTAAACATTAATAGTAAAGAATGTTAAAAAACGCTTATTTTAGGGGCTTCTGGTACTGGTCGCACCACCTTTGTCAACACTCTCTGTGGCAGCGAGGTCTTGTCCAAGAAATTGTGTGATAACCCTGATACCGCCAATGTGGAAGAAGGCATTCGCATCAAACCAGTGACCGTCGGTAGGTTTTATGAGATATACAGCTATGTATTATGAGAATAAGTCATTAAATTCCATATTATTACAGAATTGGAAGAGGATGGTGTCAGAATTGCTTTAACTATAGTAGACACTCCTGGTTTTGGGGATAATATAGACAACGAGTTTTGGTAAAAATTTATCTAATATCAAATAGTCATTGACTCAATCACGCTTCTCAGCTGATTCATTTTTACATCTAGTTTCCAGGAAATTATGGGCTACCTCGAAAGACAATATGACGATATTCTCGCAGAAGAATCAAGGATTAAACGTAATCCGCGGTTTCGTGATAATCGTGTTCATGCCCTTCTTTACTTCATTACTCCAACCGGCCATTCGTATGTATCTAGTTGGTATCGGTTATGGTTTCTTTACCTTTATTAACCAATATATATATATTTCTTAGTCTCCGTGAAATTGATATTGAATTAATGAAGCGCCTTAGCCCACGCGTAAATGTAATTCCTGTTATTGGTAAAGCTGATACGTGCACACCCACCGAATTGGCAGAATTTAAAAAAAGAGTAGGTAACACGTAAATAAATTTTTAACGTTATTTTTTGTAGATAATAGTCTCGTAATACTTTAATCGATTAATTCTAGATCATGGAAGATATTGACCATTATAATATTCCAATCTATAATTTTCCGTTTGATGTGGAAGAAGATGATGAAGAAACTGTTGAAGAAAATAGTGAATTAAGGGTATGTTTAAATTGAAAGAAGCTTAAAGTTTATCATAACTCAAACGCTTATACCTACATCATAGGCCCTTCTGCCTTTCGCTATCGTTGGTAGCGAGGAAGAAATAAACGTGAACGGAAGATCTGTTCGTGGTCGACAATACCCGTGGGGTGTGGTTGAAGGTACATTAGTTTTCAAATACCAATTTTTGTCAAAATGATGTCAATTAATTATATCATTTTTCTGCAGTCGATAATCCACAACACTCGGATTTTGCTAGATTACGATCAGCTCTACTAAGGTTATTATATCACCATTCTGCACACTTCTACATAGAATAGTATTCTGTTGTGTTTTTTTTGACGATTCGATTCAATCGTTTTACACACTTTTAGCTCCCACTTGCAAGATCTTAAAGAAATTACCCACGACTTCTTGTATGAAAATTATCGTACCGAGAAGCTTAGCCGAAGTGCCGATAATCCTTCTGTCGAGTAAGTATTTTTAGCTATTGAGCTAAAGGAGTGTTCATGTAAAATTAACTCGTTATCTGCGATTTTAGCGATTCCGCTATCTTGCCAGAAGACCTCGCAACCCAAAGTGTACGATTGAAGGAAGAACAATTGAAACGAGAAGAAGAGAAGGTGAGAATTAGAATTTCGCCTATTTCATTATTTATTCTCTTGCTTTTTTTCTAACTCCGTTTTAACCATTTAGTTGAGAGAAATTGAATTAAAGGTCCAACGCGAAATCACTGAAAAGAGACAAGAGCTCTTGGCCAAGGAAGAAGCCTTGAGGAACCTGGAAGCTCGTTTAGCACAAGCTCAAGAATCTTCTAATTAATAGATCAAAAGTTTTTAAATAATATCTTTACATACCACCTACAATATGTACATCATAGTTAGAAGTTACCTATACTTGTTTATTTCTTGTTATCAGTATACCATTTATTTCTTTTATAAGGGCGGGAATATATCCAGGTCGAACATTAGATTACAGTATTATATACACGAATAATATGGAGATTTACAATTCTAAAATATCAAAAAGATTTTGGAAATAATAATTCTTAATAATATATTTAATGAATTTAATCTATAATCTATAACGTTTCGGTTTCTTTCTAATATACAAGTATCCTGTCACGCGTGATTATTTCTTTGATGTGTATACTGAACGAAAGGCCAGCAGCATCTTATTTACATGGTTTTAAGTTAAATTTCGGTACACCGATCCCTTAGAATAAACGTCATTGCAAGCTGCTGAAAGGTAAATTAATAATAATTGAGAGATAATCTAAAATTTTATTAAAATATTAGTTTTTTTTGATTTTTTTTTTCCTTAATTATATAAATATTACTAGTTATTACCACACTCTATGATTTCACAAATAACTTTGGTAACATTAATTACGAAATTAACTCCAGATACAACTAAATAAGTTATCTATTTATCATTTCCGACAGTCTTCTTCTTAGATGATTTCTTCTTTTTTTTACTTTTTGCACCGGTAGCCGATACTTCAACATAATCTTCGTCCTCGGCAGAACCATCTCCAGTTTTTTCCTCCGTCTTGATGTTACGTTGTTTGACAGGTCCATCATCACCTTCGCTTTCGCTTGAAGCATGCTTTCGTGCGTCACCTACTTTTTGTTTCTTATCGTCCTTTTTGTCAGAAAAGGTGAAAACTTCTTTCACTTGATTTTTTAGTATTCCCGTGATCATAACAGATAATATACAAGCGGGAGAAAGATAGAGTAATGCGGGTTGGGCAGCTTTGAACGTATGCATGACGACGATAGTTGTCGCGAGACCCAATATATAGGCGGCAAAACAATTATTAAAGTAGGGTGTGGGGAATTTTGAGTTTCGACGCGCTTTAGGGTTACTTTTTATGTAATTACTGTGATCAAAGCGGAGACACAATGCAACATAGATTCCTAAACACAAAATACTATATTAATACTCATATTAAAATTATTTTTAAATAGATGGAAACTCACCAGGTATCACTATGTCACCTAGTCCCAACATTGTAAACTGTAAAGCCTCATCGGGTTGCAATCCGAACAATCTTTTCGGCCAAACCACTTTGATTGGTGCGTCAAAACTTTTTGCCACTGTTACCATAACCTCAGTACCAAATACCCAAAATATATCGTAGAAAAATAATCCGCTGAGAAGGATCGCACCGGTTTTAAAGGAATCCAGTGAAAGCATTTGAATTGCTTTAAAAGCGAAGGCAAGCCCAAAGATGTTGGATATAATCCAATTTTTTGTTGCCACATAGTAGGCTGTAATAAGGATCGAAAATAAAAGAGTAAAAAGGTGGACAACAGTGAATCTTGTTTTATAGAGCTCTGTGGGTATTTAAGGAAATAATAATCGTCATAAGAGAGGAAAAAACACTTAAAACAATCATTGGATCCACTTTGTAAAGTGACCATACCCTTATCTTTTTTCGTCAACAGAATTTTATACGCATTATATTTGATCCCAACGGTATTTTTAATACAATGCACTCCAGCGTCTGTCACAGCGACCACTCCCAAAAATGAAAAGTATGCCGTGACAAGATAATTCACGTACTCTTTGTCCAAAAACTTGAATACTAAATATAACGAAAATAGAACAATGGAGCCAAAGACTGGGAAAAGATAAGCGTCTTCTGTTGTGAGAGGATCATTAATGGATTCATCCTCTGAAGAATCCGTGTCAGGATTCTGACCAGGGTGCTCGGGTTTCGATTTCTGAGTATGAAGTTTGTAATTAACGGAAAATTAACGTCTTCGACGAAACATTTACAAAACCAATACCTTCGGCCACTTAATTGAGGCAAATGACCCATAATAGATTGGTGCCACTGCCATGATACCCAAGGCACCGTATGCGATTAGTAGTCCAACCTCCATTGATTCTAAAGAAAAATGAGAATGATTTTTTATAATTCTAGATCACTCTTCATTGATTGAGGCTTATATTGGAAGTCGGTAATGTGTTGTTGATTTTTGATTTGTGCAAGCTCGCTTCCTCTATAATCACCTATCACAGTTCCCTAATGGGATAGTAAAATACAGAAACCGTTTCAAGTAAATCTATTTAAAAATTCAATATATAAAGTAATTTTTTATTTTATAATATATAAAAATAAACACATATTCGATATAGTGGAAATTAATAAAACAAGTATATATAATAGTCACGGAACATTTCCCTTAATCAAGACTCAAAATGTTATTTTTATAATACAATTTATATTGTGTGTAA